CCCGCGCCAGAGTCCGCACCTCATGCACAACAGATCAGGGGCCCCCGGCCGGACCCGGTGAGTCCCTCCAGTCTCAGTATAGGGGTTACGCCTCTCCAAGGCCCCGTTCTCACTTCTGTGAAATGAGCATAGTAAACCCAAGCTACCAGGGTCACAGCGAGGGGACAGGTGACAGCGAGCCCTGCAAGGCGTGCCGGACTCTACCCTGATTAATGACATATTTGTATTTTGATGAATGCAGCTCAGTGGAGTTGGCTAGCACGTGGCATAAGTGTTTCTCACAGGTTTACATGGAGACGGACCACAGCGGACATCCGATTTTCTTTGCTTGTCATCCCCTTCGCTGCGACCCACGCTCCATTCTCCAGCCAGACCGGGCCACGGGCTCCCATGGATCAGCACGTGTGGCCCCATGCCACCCAAACACACGTGTGCGTACTGAGTCCTGCTGTGTATGTAGGGTATGAAGCCACAGACACAGAAACAGCTGGCGGGGGACCGATGTGGCAATCCTGGGTTGTTTTGTCATCTGAACATGACTTTGGGCGACAAGGAGGAGCCGTTACTCATAGCACGCGGACCAAGGCCATGCCAGTTCCCGTGGCGACGGTGTCCTCATACCAGCGATGACCAAAAATGGTCTTCCCCAGATGTTCGGTGCCAAGCAGCGTCCCACGCTCACACCCTGCCCAGGAGTAACAGAAGAGTCACGCAGGAGGGGCTCCCCCTTCCCGGCTGCGAGCCACGCCTGCTGCTTTGCTCTGACAGATTACCATCTGGCCCAGATTCTGGGTCCCAGTATCAGCACAAACTAAATGAGCTGCCGCCGCCGGCTGCATATGGGAGGACCGTGTGTTCTTTGGGTCGGAGGTTTGTGGACAATTTAAAATTCAAACCACGGGTTCTCTGGAAGGAGGAACGGGAAGCCTGGGAGAGTCCCCGGGCAGCGGAGGCAAAGGCAGAGCCCACGCAGCGTGGTTGTCGGGCCGGAGAACAACATCAGGGGGCAGGGGACCTGGGCTTGAGTCCTGGTTGCATTAAGTGCCAGCGTCATGTGCCTGGGTTTTTTACGAAAAAGGAGCTCTGATAGGGTCAGACTCCCCGCTGGAACGCTTAGCTCCTGACTTCACTGGACCGCCCCAGGCCATCAGCTTCCCACAGTGTGACACCTGAGGCTCATCTACCCCCTGCTGCCCAGGGACCCCACCATAGGGGAGGGGAGACTGAGGCATAGAGTCATTAAGTCACCTGCCCAAGGTCACACCCCAGTGCATGACAGTGATAACCTAAGGTCTGGCTGCAAAGCACAGAGAAGCCCTACTGCTGGCCTGTCCCATGTTCCCAAAGTGGGAGGACTGGCCACGACCTCACCCTGCCCCTGTTCCCTCTCCACCTCCTCGGGCCCCACTTTCTACACCTCACACTCTCAGGGAGCCCGCCAGGCCCACTGTGAGTGTCCCCCTTTGCCACTCACAGGCGGCCTCAGGCCCCAGAGGCAGGGGAACCAGGACATGTGGGGTAGGGAGCTGCTAAGGGCAATTTCGTTCACGTCTTCCCCGCCCTGTGGGAAACTGGAGGACGGGCCACGTGTACCTCCTTCTGTGTGGAGTATGTTAAGAAAAATGAGGTTTCTTTACAAAAAATGTGGTAAAAGATACATTTTACTCTCATTTCTAAAAATTTTGGGTTGGAAGGAAGATAAAAAAGGACAAAGTAGAGGACTTTGAGAAAGTCCAGTTTCCCCTTCATAAAGTTTATCATGCAGACCATCAGATGATGATTTTGCTGCAAATTAAAAAAAAAAAAGAAAAGCTTCTTAACTGGCTGTGGAAAGGCTGGAAGCAGAGACGCTGGAAGAGGAAGGGAAAAGGAAAATGGTCCCCCTCCTCAGCCCTGTCTTTGTAGAACATTCTCCAGTGAGGTCCCCAGACAACTGGGTACCCTGACAGCCTTTCGGGGGGCTCCTCAAGCTCAGAATGGTTTCTGTACAAAGAGGAACACTTTTGCCTCTTTCGCTGTGCTGGCATTGGCACCTGTGGGTGTAGAAGAAGCAAAGGTGGGGAAACAGCCAGGGCCTGGGCGCTGAGTGGCACCGATAGTTGCCACGGTCGTCACAGCCATGAACTCGCAGGGAGAACACCAGGACACGGAAAACGTCCTGCGTGAGGCCGTGAAAATGAATTTTTTTTTTTTACTAAGTGAATACACATCTTTTTAAATTCTGGGTAATGAAATGGAACGTGCACATAAGGAACGTCTGCTGCCGGAGACCATGGTCAGGAATATCGTGAGAACTGCACATGGGGTCAGGGTGGGTCCTGGACTTATCGGGGTGATCCCCGGGGAAGGTGACTAACATCTTTTAATTTTCCAGTGGCAGGTGGCATGCAGCATTCTGTTACTCCCAGGTGAAATGCTTTTATATTTGGTATTTTAAATTTAATATATAAAATAAATATTTATACTATCTTCAAAGAAGAACATCTTTGAGTTGTAAGCTAAAGTTGTAGCCACTTTATTCATGAACACTGTGTTTACAGAAAGCACAACGTGCCAACCTCTGTCCATTCAGACTTGGGCATTTGACAAGTAGTTCCTCAAAAGTACTACATGAAATAGGTCTGTTGCTTCAAAGAAAACTTGGTGTTTTTTGCTGATAAAAATTGAGCCTCCGAGAAAAATTTCAAGTTTTGAAAATTTGTATCTGCGCTTGTGAGCTTGATAACTCCCCGGTGCTTTGCTGATGAAATTGGTGGTAAGAGTAACTGTCATTGCTCGATACTGTATATTCAAATGTGCCAACATTTTGAAGCAATATTTTCCATGTGACTAATGCACAAAATCCCATGGGGTAAAAATCTATTCAAGTGACCCATGAGACTTACTGTAACCACAGGAAAGTTTATTGGTATGGTTTCATATTCCATCTGCAATTAACCTTTAAGCAATTCGTCAGTTTGGGTGTAGTATAAAGCAATATCGACAGTTACCTGGAAGTTATTACATACCCCTCCCTCTTCCAAGTTCCATCTCTCTCTGAGGCCTGATTTTCTTCCAGATGTTTCAGAAACATTTCTTAGACTTCTTAGACTGAAGGCGGAAGTCTCAGAACCCAGGCCTCTTCTATGAATCCAGACATCAAGAGGATTGGAAAACCTGTGAAACACCATCGTCTTCTTAGAATGTTATTTTTTATAAAAATGCTGGCGTTATTTTAAAAATGAATCATTTGGAAGTGTGTGGATTTCTAATATGTACGCACTGCTGCCCAGTGAGTGGTGTGCTGGTTAATGTTTAACAACCCGCCCCCACGCGTGGGGCGGGGGCACCTCCCTCAGTTGCAGTGTTTGCTGATTTCCGGGCGTAAATGCTCACGTCGGGACCAAGTCGAAGCGACCAGCTCGGCTCCGAAGCAGACTTGGGAGATGAGTGAGTGCCGTTGGAGTCTTGGGGCGTCCTCACTCGTTCTCAAGAGCGGGCAGGGGCCCTGAGGAGGGGTCTGAGAGCAGCCCCACTACCCCCCTTGTCCGGTTAAGGTATCTCAGCAATGCCAGGAGTCCAGGAATCGCCTGATGCTCTTAAATGTAAACATCCCCCAGCCCCTTCCGTAGGCCCACCAACCCCCACCCCCCCACCTCGCAGCCAAGACAGAACCTGAAATCTTCCTATTCCAAATGCTTCTCAGAAGCACTTCCCACTGTCGGGAACACTTTTTGGGAACTGCTTGCGGGTGGGCTCACAGCTGGTTCCAGCTTGGTCATGATTTACTAGGAGGCTGTGTGTAAAATCGGTTAAACAGTGACGTGACTCAAGGAATGACCACTGAGCGAGCCGTGGCCCAGGGCTCAGCACCTCCCTCTACTGCCCTGTGTTGGGGTGGGGACGAAGAATGACTCTTATGAGGAGGACTTTATATAAACAAAATACTTTATTTGGGAAAGAAACGGCCAAATTACAAAATTTTTATACTTAAGTTCCGTCCTTGACCGCGCCAGAGGTTTATAAGGGACTTCAGTTCCCGTCACTCTTAGGTTGACCGCATGAAACTGCCAACTTGGTCAATAAAAAACGTTAAACATTGGCTGCGCGTGGGTCGACCCCATACGTGAGCCGTTGGCTTCGATTTGTTTCGGCAGCAGCACGTTCCCTGTCTGCCGACGTTACCGATGTCCGAGTGAGCAGTACACAGGTCCTGCCTGAGAAACGTCCTGTGTTTCAAGCTCCTGGAAGCTGTCTCGTGTGGGTCTTGAAGCAGTTCCGCCCTTCTCGGCTCCTGTCCCCAAGGATTGTCTCAGCACACGGGTGGGTCCAGGGGTCCCCTCACATGGCTTCGGGTGACCTGTCCGAATCGCCAACCCCCTGGGCCAGATCATTCACCAAGGCCAGGAACACACGCCAACACAGGCGCATCTTAGAAACAGCCGCCACTCTCCACGGCGCTCAGAACGCTTTCTTCACGGGACCGAGTTCGCTGCATTCCCCCCGAGCCTGTGCTTACTCCTGGGGCGTCTGGGCATTCCGCGTCCAAAATACAAGGAAAAACGAAACCTATGCCGCTGCAGCTGCTGGGCAGAGAGGAGCAGCGTGGCATCCGGACGCCCCAAGACTCAGATGGGACAAATGTGCTTCATTCAGGTCTGAGGGCGTTCAGAGAGGCTCCCTCCCCGCGACCTTCGGCCCTGCCCAGTATGTTTAACTTTACGTGGAGCTGAGATAAAAAATAAAGCTTTCTTACAAATTACATTTCTTTTCCAGTGAATTACTTTTACAGTAAAAATAGCTGCTACGTAAATCCCTCCTGATCGCGGAAAAGGAGTTGCATACTTCCAAAAATAGCATTATTTTAATCCTAGAGCGTCACCTGGGACCTGGCAGTAGGGCACGGGGTGCAAGCGGCTGGTCAGGGACACGAGCGGTGGGGGAAACACAGCTGCATTGAGAAGTCAAGTCTGAGCATCGACTGAGTTAAAGGCATGCACAGAAATGGAAAACATATGCCATTTGTCAAGAAAAATACTGCTTTATAGCTTTTACATTACAATTAAAGGAGAAACCAGAGGCCAGCTGTGCCCCTAGATAATAACATTAAGTTTCTTATAAAAATTCCCAAATGTACAAAGTCCTTGCCAGATACAACCCGGGCAAAACAAAACAACAAAACAGGGATTAACCGTCTTAGACCTTACTCCTGTAGGCGTAGTAAATGTAAATAATACACATTTTACAAATTCTCTTAGCCTGCCCGTGGCAGATTCAATGTTTGCAAAACGCCATATGTGCTCTTGAAAAACGGAATAAACATTGCATTCTTATTTCACATACAGTAATATAATTATTTTAAATTACAATATACAATTTCTGTTAAATAGAACTGTTAGAGGATCTTGATAACAATGATAAGATTACAATCATATATACAAACCAACGTCTGAAAGGGCACGATTGTTTCCGGGGCCCCTCCTGCCCTCTGAAACGCAGGCCGCTTTTGCCTGTGTGATTCCTGGTTGCAAAAGGCCAAAGAAAATAAAATGTGTGTGTCCACGACGTGCTCGCTCCTTGGAGAATGCCCAGCAGCCAGAGCGGTCCTGTCGCCCAGCCCGCGCGGGGCGCTCCCCTCTGGACCACGTTAGTGCGACTGCATTATAAATAGCCTTTTCCCATCCGCGGGCTTCGGAGGCGACAAGCCGCACGGCTCTGGGCGAGAGCTGCGGCTCCCGATGAAGTCAGGCCACTGCTTCTTGGCGAATTTCCTGGAGTGTTCAATCGGCCTGGCAGGGGCCTGGGGGCAGTCGGTCGGGATGACCCTGTGGGCAGTCCCCGGGCCTCAGTCCTCCGTGTCCGGCTGGACGCCCAGGATGGCGTGCAGTTCCTCGGGTGTGAACCCCAGCAAATTCTGCAGGTCGCACACAAAGCGGTACACGTAGCGCTTCCCCGACGTCTTGTGGATGATGTTCTTGTCGTAGTAATAGCGCAAACCCCGGCTCAGCTTCTCATAGTTCATCTTGGGCTTGTTTTTCCTCTTTCCCCACCGGCGGGCCACCTGCGTGGACATGGATGGAGACAAGTTCAGTTCCATCGGGGAGTTAAGAAACCGCGAATGACTTCCCCACTGATGACGGCGCTGATGCGTGCTCACAGGGAGAACGTTCCCGCTAAAGGACCCCGAAGGTGCCTGTTTTAGGACATGTGCCAGGGCATGTGTCCCTCAGCTGGTTCTCAGAGGACAGAGAGAGGGGCAGAGGGGAGTGCGGTGCACCGCCCCCGCCCCCCAGAGCCATTTGATACAGGACTCTCCAAGCCTCTTCCTCGGCAAAACCTCCCGGAAGCCAAGGGCTCCGGATGGAGGGTCCCGAGACAAAAGGAGAGCTGTGTCCCCCTACCCGCTTAGTCCCACGGGCAGCCACTGAGTGGGGTTCTGAGCTGTGTGACATTATGCCGTCCTCAATGCTTCTGCCTCCCAAGGGGATAGGAGGGGACAGGCTGCGCTAGACCAGAGACCCAGGGCTTCTCCAATATTGTCCCAGCAGTCAGGTGCTGGACCTGCCCTTGGCTTTCTCCTCCTGATGGGGCTGCGGCAGCTCGGCCGAGCTCAGCTGAGGGGCGCGGAGAAGCCCAGCCAGCATGCACGCGTTGGGGTACGAGGCTGGCTCCCCACAACAGAAGAAAGCAGCTTTCCCGAGGCGTTTTCACACGGTCAGGAGACAGCCTCAGTTCGCCGCTTGCGCCTTTTTACGGCAGAGCAAGACGGTAAACTCTGGCCAACACCTGCACACAGACCCGAGACACGGCTCCCCTGCCGTCAGGTGAGCTCCCTTTTGTCCCAGGCAACCGAATTTGTGATCCCACAGGGATGAAAACAGGGCAAAAAGCCCCAAGACCGACCTCCCGGGCGTTGGCCATACCTCATCGGGGTCGGCGAGCTTGAACTCCCATCCGTCGCCGGTCCAGCTGATGAACGACTGGCAGGACTTATCAGAGAGCAATTCCAGGAGAAACTGCCACAGCTGGATGGGCCCGCTTCCTGGGGGAGAGGGCCGGGTTACCGGTTTTTACAGACTTGGAGCAGGCCAAGGCGGCCGCCATCCGATGCCACCCGCAGGCTGAGGGGCGCGAGCCCCTTTCTGGGTGCCGACGACAGCCCTGAGGGCTGGTGGGACGGGGCGGGACACCAAACGGGGGTCTTCCTCCATGCCCCCTACTCCCAGGAAAGAGGTCACTGGGCCCTGAATTCAGAGCTTAGTCTTTCTGGGAAAAGTTTCAGGGCCACTGACTCTTGGCCTCAAAACTCCTCCTGTGTCACTGTCCCTTCTGTAGTAACTCTCAGTGTTTGTTTCTACAAAAATGTTGGGACAGGATGGGGCGGTTGAAGGGGGGGTGGCACTGAGCCACAGGAGGCACGTTATGCGTGGAATCTTGTGCTGTTAACTTCTGGCCACGTGACAGGGGCTAAATGGCTTAATCCAAGACTCAGCTGCGTCCAGAGCCACCAGGGCACCGGGAGTGGCATCCACGGCCTTAACACCTGTGTGCCGAGGTCTGTGCTTTGCAAAGTGCCTTTAAGGGGCCTTTTCGTGAACAGTATTTAGAACCAGCGCCTTGTGAAGGAGCACCATCAAAATAGGAGGAATAAGACGCAGTGCAGAGGTCAGGGGCTGCCCTGGGTCACGCGCCCACCAGAGACCTGTCCCCCAAGACACTAAGGCCACAGGCAGGAGGGCTTGGCTGTGAAGCTCCAGGAGTTCTCAAGCCAGACAGAACTGGCTGCCCATGTGACCAGAGAGCTGTGTCACCTGAGTGCATTTCCCCATCTGTGAAATGGGTCAACGCCCCGCCCACGCTGGGCTGTCCTATGGATTACCGACAACACGCCTGGCTGACCACACCAAGCGGGCAGGCCACGCATACTGAAATGACCACCACCAACGCCGTGGCAGTTTATTTTCTTATTCGGCCCTGACCACTGCCCCCCCCAGACCCCAGGGTGAAACTACAACGCTTCTCATTCACTCGACACGTATTTTTAACACGTTTCTATGGCTGTTTGTTTTAGACGACAGAAAGAAATGGATGCCTACACATGCATGTCTTAACCTGTCAGATTTTTGTAAGGAGGTATTTCTTAAATCCCCCGTGGCTCTATATATAGTCAAAATATGAGGGAAAATAGCTCATTTAAGGACACATGAAAGCAATTAAAAAAAAAAAAACCTCAGTATTTTCGCTCAAGTGGAAATACCTGTTTCTAAAAATGGCTTTAATATTTGACTTTTGCTTAGAATAGCTCTTGCCCAAAACCTTAAAAATAAGATGGGGTTTGGGAGCAAGAAAAGGTAAACAGTCCTGTGCTATTTGAGGCCGGCCTGCTGCCCCTCCCCGAGCCAGTTTACATTCTTTGACATTCCTGGTGTGGGTGAGTCAGAACGAAAGCCTCTGCTGGCCCCTGTCCCCTCCTCTCTGAGTGACCGAGTGCATCCGAGGTGGCGGGAGCAGCCACGGTTTCCATCCATGCCGCTGAGCTGCGTACACAAACGTTCCCACAAGGCTGGCTGCCTTAGAGTTCAGCGTGTCGGGAGTCAGGATCAAATACCCCATGGATTGAATGTGGGGTGCAGACGCAATGGGCTCAGGCTAGAAACACCCTTGACAAACACGACTGTGCTGGGCCAGGCACAGGGGCGGTGACCGGGACACCTGGAGCGGCGCCCTTGCTCCCTCCCTCTCCCCCTCCCTCCCCTCTCACCTGTGAAGCCAGCCAGCACGGCCGCAGGTATGACCGGTTTGCCCTGCTCCACCGGGCCGCTCCTCTCCTGGATGTAGTCCTTGAAAGACATGGCCGGCTTGCCGAGGCCCAGGGCCTGGCCACAGTCGTCCTCGCAGCTCTCGAAGGAAGGCACCCGCTGCTCCAGCAGCGACGACTGGCTGTTCCAGGACTGGAGCAGCGAGTCCGAGCTCTCGAAGCTGTTGTCCCTGCCGTTCTCGGGCGCGTCGAGGTCGCCGGCCTTCCCTGGCAAAGACAAGCAGGCACAAACTTTGACGCCTCCAGGACGACGACACGTCTGGCCGTGCTGCCGAGGAAACCGCGGGCCGTCCTGGCCCCAACGGCGGCATCACTTCCAGCCGCCCCCCTTCAGCCACGCTCCCTGCCGGTGCAGAATCATTCAGACGGCAATGTGCTCTCAAACCGAGGGGCTTGCTCGTTACACATGTACTGGACAACCACACCTTCCATCCACAACAGAATTGATAAATCAGGTGTAGCCCCGTAAGAGAGAGTCCTACACAGCAGCGAAACAGGACAACCGGCTGCTGTATCCAACACAGACGGATCTCAGACACAATGAGCTAGAGACAAACACAAAAGACAACGTACAGTATGACTCTTTTTATATCAAGTTCAAGAACAGGAAAGACGAGGAGGACAAAAGTCAGGACAGTGGTTTCCTCTTGGGGTGGAGATGCTACTGACAACTGGGAAAGGGGACGAAGGAGCCTTCTGGGACGCTGGAAACCTGTCTGCGTCAGTGGCTGTTACACAGGTGCATGTATGTGGAAATCCAACCGGCTACCTATCTGGAGACTCGTGCACTGTCTACACATCCATAAAAAAATGTTACCTTCCTACACTGTCCCCCAAAGTCTCCCAGTGGGTGGAGGAATCTATTCACGGCAGCAGGCACTTGCGTCTGTGTCTCGTTTATTCAACGGCCTCCCAGCCCACGGCCTGGAGCACAGCAGGAGGCCGCCTGCTGAGTGCATCGGCCGTCCCTGACAGCGACGAACATCCCATAGAGGGATGAGCCCTTGACTTCCTCCAACCGCTGAACACAAGACCGCGGCGGCAGAAGTCCGCGTCCCTGTCTGACCGGGGCCCCCAGGTTCCAACCAAGCGCCTGCTGGAAGGACCAGCTGGGAGCTCCTTCTTACCAGAGCCGCTGGCGATCAGATTCAAGCTGCTGCCCGCGAAGTCCTGGCTGAGGGAGCAGTAGCCGATGCCGACAGAGCTGAGCCGAGACTTGGGGAACATCTGGAACTCCTGCTCGGCGCCGAGGCCACCGGGTGTCGCTGCGGATGGACACATGTTGTCCAGAAGGCCGCCTTTGGGGTAACTCTGCGTCTGCATTCCATACGGCGTCTGCTCCACGCCAAAGCCTAGAACAGGGCCATCCGAAAGCAGGGCTATTCAGGGACAGCATGTGATGATGAGGGACCCTCCACACCCCTCACCAGATAGAACGCAAGCGGTTCTGCAGGCCCTGGCCTTGCCGACCCTCGGTAGACACGTGGGCTTTGATCGGCAGCTTTGCCACAAAGTCCTTCATTTTCAAACCATTTGTCCCCCCAGCTTTACAGGCCCTCTTCTCAAATACCCGCGGCCGCTGGGCTCAGGGCACAACGCCTCAGTGTCTAATGAGGCATAACAACATCAAGTGCTTTCATGTTTCCCCCAGAATGACAGGGGCCACTGGCTGTTCTGGCCTCCAATGACGCTGAGGCTCAGACAGACGCAGTGATACGTTCTCTATCTGTGACTCCTATATGGCATCTCCAGTCACCTGTCCCTGGCTGGCTGAGGGGACCACCCATAACCTATGCTCGCCATGTCAGGGACGAGACAGAGAGCCCGAAGTCCATGACATCTTTTTCAACTCCCAAGTTCAGAGGACTCGTGGTCTCGCTTACCGCCCACGTCCCGTGCCGGCCACCTCTCATTTGTTACACTAAGCGTTGCCCCAGCTGTTACCCCGCTACACTGTGCGCCCCCTCTGTGCGTAGCCTGGGCCAACGCTGGCCACTAAGCAATGTTCAGTATTCCAGTAGCCACATTTACAAAGTAAAGAGAAATGAGAAACTTTAAAACTTTACTTGACCTAAGATATCAATTATCATTTCAACAGGTAATTTTAAAATTAGGAAGGCGCTATTTTTCAGTCTTTGTTTCATACTGAGGCCTCCAGATCTGGTGTGCACTGTGTTCTTATCACACATCCCCACGGGGACCGGCCACATTTCGAGCCCCAGTAGCTCAAGGGCCATGTGTGGCATGGCCACCATATGGGTCAGCTCGGGTCTAGACAGTGCCTTTGGGCCATCCGTGAACTATCGGGACGACTTAAAACCAAGATCTTAGGGGCAGAACCCAGACTGACCTAAAGAATTGCTGTTGATCCAATGGGGAACGGAGTTGAGGTGGGAATTCTCTTCGTACTGATCTTCTGCCTTTTCCTGGTTTTCTGAGAACAGGCACAGGAGAGAGGTCAGATCGCAAATCAAAGACAAAACAACACAAGAAAAAGTGACTTTCTGCGTTAGTGCGATAGGGTTATTTCAGAATTACTCAACGCAGCTAGCGGTTCACATTGAACCCGACAGCGTTCTAAGCCATCCCGTCCCTTAAAAACCTAGAGACAGCAACGCGTTTTTTAACAAGTAGAGGAAGTTTTCCAACATGAATGCTGTCAAAGGCAAAGTTAAATTTTCTGCTGCCTCATCTGAAAGACGCAGATGTGTCAACGAAGAGTGAGATGCTGGCGGGGGCCACCTGCACCAGGCAGGGCTGGGGACAGCAGACTCCCTCCCCACCTCCTTCTGAAAGGTCCCCCTGGGTGCGGCGAACACTACACAGAGAAGGCCAGAGCAGGACGCAGGCGCCCAGTAACTTGGAAAGGGAAAAGGTTTGTGGCTCTGTGTCTGTCTGCTCCCCACAAACACACGGAACCACACAGCCACCCAACATACCCAGAAACCCAGTCCCACGGACTCACTCCCGAGTAATGGCAGAACTGGCCCAACTTGCCAACAAATGGGTCCTCCCCGGAACCTTGTCCCTTGTCAGGTCAGACGTGCCCAAGTTCAAGGAACATTTGGAGGTCTTTAAAAACAAGTTTCCCTGGCCCTGAGGAGCCCTATCTAAAAAGAGCTGGCAGTTGACTCCTGAGGCCTTTTTAAACTTCTGAGTCCACAACAGGTGTGGGAGCCCAGCGCTCCGGGGAAGGAGGACTATTTCCCTGAACGCTGCCAACGGGCTCATTTTCCGAAAGTTTTCACTTAAGTGATCTCTCGCTACAATTTTTTTTTTTCTTTTTAACTCAATGTCTTTTTAACAACAATCTTAATGTTCTTATAAGGTCTGAATTGAGACTTTCTATATAATGAGAGTTCTATCAATTACTTCTATCAATTACCTATTGATAGGTACCTATCAATTACTTCTACATTTGTTTAAAAACCTAAAACCAAAAAAAAAAAAAAAAAATTCTATTTGTCGGAATCCATTGGGACTTAGGAAAACCTACTGTCGAATGCACAGTTTGTCTGGATAAAGGCTCCCTTTCGCTGAAGCCGGCTTCTTTCATTTGGCTCTGGAAGGTGAGCCACGAACCAGGGGAATCCTTTGCTGACCTCCTTATCTAGGCCAACACATTGTCCTCTGACGAATGCCGTCCGGCAAGAGTGAACGAGTCAGTGACTAAGGCTGCTGCCCGTGGCTACACTCGATGCCACGTAAATGCACTTAGGCGGATTCAAATCTACCACCGTGTATCTGACTCACTCCACTAGCATTTTCAGGCCACTTCCATCATTTGACTCTCTGACCCTATGGCTGTACGTCCTTCCCTCCCGTAGCCGGTACCTTTGATCATCTGCTCCAGGTGCTCCCATAGAATGTCGCCCACAAAGTCTGGGGCCAACTCCAGAAAACGCTCCTTGCCCAGGTTGCACAGCACCTGGCCGTTCATGCCAAACCTCTGGAGGTTTACGTTCACCAAGCTGAACTCGTTGGTGGCCCAGAGCAGCCACTGGCAAACTTGTTGCTCTGTCCACAGCCAGGGGTCTACGGAGAGGGAAGAAAAGAGGGGACGCAGGAGGAATAAATGGGAGGAGGCAGTGAGACCACACAAAGGCCACACACGTGCACCAAAGGCCGACGGTAGGCGGGAGACCCCCAAGGAAATTCTAACATGGGAACACCGGGGCTGGCCGAAGCCTTGGGTGGACTGCGTGGGAAGAACTGGCTCAGGGTAACCCCATCGGTGCCACGCTCTGCGAGATGCGTTACACAAAAGCGTAAAAGCACGACCCATCTCAAGTAATGGCGGTCAAGTTCGTTCATCCAGCACAGCACAGACTCTGAGAAGCAGCTCAGAGAGGAGGCACTTACTCTTGGGGATGCCCAGGCGGCACTGCTCCTTCGTGAAGCCGCTGAAGGTCGCCTTCAAGGCCTGGCTCATCACAGCCTTGCTGCAGGGCGTCAACAGGGGCAGTTCGTAGGTGGCCGCATCTGGAAGGAATCCCGTGGGGGCTGTTAGGGTTCCAAAGCCGGCAAGGTCAGAGGGAGGCGATCTTTGTTTTTCAGGAAAGAACAGTTCTGATCTCCAACCTTGACATAATTCCTTCCGAGAGTATAAATATTAGCAAAAATTTTTTTTGACTGAGATTGAAGAAATAGTAGACATCTCATAATATGCCATATTAAAAAACACTAAAATGTTATGCCTTGGTAGAGTGTCTATTGGAGGCTATTTGAAAATTTTAGCCAATGAAAGAAATTGCATGATTTTGGGCCCAAAGGCCTCAGAGATTGCAAATACGTACTCTGGAAGTCAGTCCCATTAAACCAAGCAGCAGACAGAGATGTGGGGCCTAGGACAGGCACACAGGCCTCCGTGCCCACGAGTTTGGCACACTTTCAATTTTTATTGAGAAACGATCTTCCCTGGCCTCCCTCAGCAATTCCAAGAATGATAAATGACTATCACATGATGGCACACTGACGCAAGCACATGTGTTTTAATTAATTTTCTGGACTGTATTTTCTAGCACCTACTTCATATGACAAAGTCATCTCTGGAACGTCTCCAACTAATAAGTCTCTCCCAGTAACTGCAGAGGCGGTACCTGACGTGCCGGCCCCTTCTAAAGAATAAACACGACATGAGGAACCACAGAAGTAAAAACAGATGGGCAAAGATTAGCAAGAGTAACCTGTTGCCCCCAAGCTCCAGGGGATGATCTGTGAACCCAGAATAAAAAGTACTGGGGTGCATTTACACGTGCCCTGTTTGTTGCTCAGCTGAGAACCTGGGAGCTGCGGGTTGGAGACACCCTGATGGAAATCTCAGGGTCCCCTGCCGGGTGCTCTCAGCAGGACACCTGCTCCCCTGGGGGGCACCTGGCAGGGATGACACCGGAGTCCTCACACACGCTTTGGAGAGGAAAACAGCCCTGTCCCAGGCCCAGGGCCTCCACCTGACTTTTCACACCGATGGCCCAAGACACCAACACCCTGTGCTCGTCAACTGTCATGTCTTTGTTAACGGAGCCACTCCGGGCAACCACGCACGGGTCGTCAATCTGGGTGACAGGTTACCGTGAGAGATGGAGTCCAAGCCCGTCGGCACTTCTTGGAGCGCTTGCTTTTCATTCAGGGAGGGGAGGATGGCAAACAGGGACCCGTCCAGGGTGTCAAAGGCCGGCTGGCGCTGCGAAAACGGGCGGAAAGAAAACGGAAAAGTAATATTTACTTGCTGAATTACCTGTTTCCAAAGCGGTCCTCGGGCAAGCCGACCAGTGTGCCCTGACTAAGCTGGCCACTGCAAAGCCACACCTGCAATGGACCAGCAGTTCTCAAGCAACTTTCTAGGACAGCCCAGGGGACCAAAGGAATCTCTGTCACTCTGGGTCATTAAATCACCCTCACAGAGTCAGAACGACTGGGAATTTATTTTTAATGGCCTCATCCCCTAAAATTAATAAATTAAGTAAACAAATCGAAAACTACCAGAATCCCAGAATACTGCTGGGATCCATTTCAGAGCCCACCTGGTCCAAACACCTGGCCCTTTTGTGACATCATTGGAGAGAAATTCAGTTAGGCCACGTGCAGGAGAACAGTGACCTTTGGCAGAGCTGTTTTAGGTCACTGATTTCAAAACAGAAGACCAATGACTGAACGAAAACTGAAAATCGAATGATGAAATAAAAGATCTGTGGAGGCATTTCTTTTGAAACGTTTACAGTGAAACACTTTTACTGAAACTAGGTGTTTTCCCTCATCCATTCCAATGGTTCAGAAAATAGTAAAACACATGAGAAAATTCCTTAAGGTTTATTTTTATAAAGGTAACGCGTATTAGAAAGAACCTCCCTTCCCCTGCCCCACAATCACCTGGGGTGAAGGATTTCTAAAGGACACAGATTTAAAGTTAAAACTCTCTACAGCTGAGAGCAAAGGAGAGTGGAACGCACAGAGATAAAGCCCTACGCTGTCCAGTTTTCATCACAGCGTTTGTCAACAAAGTAGCCTTTAGTGTAAGACTTGTTCCTAAGTAACAGAGGCCTTGAGTCACCATTGCCCAACTCGGTAAGGAAAAAATATGAAGAAAGAGTCTACTTTTCCAACATAAGCTGGAAATCCCATGTTCTGTGTAATCCAATGACACGTGTTGAGTCATCACGAAGAGAATGGGTAACACATTTACAAATAAAATTGGTTTGTGTGCTTTTGTTTTAGAAATGTAGAACACAGATGACAGATTACACAAGAGGGCGGGAGGAGGCTGGAATCGGCCCAAACACTCGGGGCGATGAGTCCCATGACGGAGCCCAGCTCCCCCCCCCCTCCAAAACCCAAGGCATCGAGGGAAAAACCGATCAGGCAAATAAGAAACACTCATCTAGATTTATAAACAGATCTATCATGTCAGACTCACTCTGTGTAAAATATCCGATCGACTTTTTAAAATTCCTACTAGCACTGCCCAGGTGATGAAAAAATTTCTTTCCTTCACTGAGGTAAGTTCTTTTTTTTAAAAAATCAGGAAGTCAAAAGGCAATACTCATTCATGCCACATATTTCACCATGTCAATTCCAGGGACTGCTTCTTCCCTGCATCCAGAAATCGCATGGACATCGTCAACCAAATCTTTTTATTTACAGGAGAATTTTTCTTTCTAGGGTTGTGGTTTCAAACTTGGTACCGTCATAACTTGTCTAGTTTCTGCCCTGCTAAAAAGGTCTGACCAAACCAACAAGATAGCTCACGGGCCTCAAGCTGGATGACCTACGTAATCCTCGAAAAAGGCCTGGGCCCATTTTTTTGGCTCTTTGGGTTGCATCACACAAACAACCTCACAGTGATCTACAGAGGAAAACAGAGCACGCCAGAGACACCTCTTTCTACAAAACACGGAGCTCAGAGCAGGCCCACTGCTCCGAGATACGCTTGCTACCCAAAGCTAAAAACAAGCAGAAGTGCAGAGAAGGCAAATGGGGAGTTATCCGCCTGTGTCGCTGTGGAGTATTCCCCAGAAGGACCGAGCGAGACGCTCCGTGACAGGTGTGCTGTGCAGCAGCAGCAGCTTTCGGCCTTCGTCTGTTTCTGGCTCCCATGCACACAGCTGCCCCATGGGTGCGGCCAGGTTTGCGGGCAGCAGCAGAGGGTCCGCCCGCCTCTCCTAACTCCAGTTCACCCCTGCAGCAGCCTCCCCCATTGCCCGAAGCCCGAGAACACCCCTGCTCTGTTCAACTAGGAACCACATAGGCATCTCGGGAATAAACGACCAAGGCCTCGACTTCTACCAAGTAACTGGCTGCGTATCTCGGAGGACAAGTAGAACAAGCATCAAGATGCCCATTTCACAGACTAGAAAACTGAGGCCCCGAGAGAGTGAGCAAACAGCCCAGAGCCACACAGCTCGGAAACTAAAAGCTGGGGCGAGAACCGGTCTTCTGGGACCCAGTCCATTGGTTTGGTTTTTGTTGTTGTTGTTGTTTTTCCCCTTAGAGATTGAGCTTTCCAAATTGTATAAAAAGAACTTTTAAGTAAGACTTTGCTCACTCACCTTGAGTGTCCCTCTGTAACTGTTAGACACAGGGGCCACCTGGTCCATGTTCTTGATTCCAAAATCATTCATCTTAAAAAAAAAGGAAGAGGAAAATAAAGAGTCAGAGGCAACAAGTCAAGTGCCTTTTCTAAGGAGTCTTCCCCGGCTGGTAAGACACTGGATTCTGGCTGAGTGTGTCAAGTTCTACCTCATTAACAGTCATTCACAACCAAACGCCTGGGATTCTTATTTAAAAGCCCTTCTCACAAAGGCTATGCGGTGTAAGTAGTTAAATAATAATATGCTGATCCCCACTGAATTCCACTGAGGGGAAGATGAAGTCACTTTCTGTGGCTGCTCAGAGCGCCCTAAGCCGGCCTGGGTGCTTCTAAGACAGGAGAGGGGTGCCGCATCGGGGGTGCTACCTCCTGTCTGCAAGGGGGCAGCAGCTCCACCCAGGCTCAGGCGCCTCAGGGCGGCCAGGGGTGACCCGCCCCAGGCAGCTCCAGGTGTATCCAAGATCCGGGAAAGCACACGGACAAGCCCCGAGGCCCCTCCTCTCCACCGTGGAGGAAGCTCCTTGGCCCCAAGATCAGCAGGAGAACCACTGCTTCCAATCTAAGCCCCTTCCCAGTCCCCTGTGAAACACACGCGCTCTCCATCCCGCTGATGGGGCCGCTGTGTGTCGCTCAGCTGTGCATTTCCTCGAGAGGTGATTCCAATCACAGACCTGCCTTGCTTGCTCTGACGGCATCCGGGCTTATAGGAGACCCGTGCGCCCAGCGTGGCGGTTACCAACCACGTGTGGCTGCTCGGCGCCCGGCACACGGCTGAGATAGACTGAGACATGCTCTGCATGTACATACACACGTGATTTCAAAGATCTCTCAAAAAGTAAAATGTCTCAGTAATAATGTTATATTTACTGCATGTTTATATAACATTTTGAATATATGTGGGGAATGGAAATATACTGAAATTAAGCTCACCAATTTTAAATATATAACGTGGCTATTAGAAAATTTTAAGTTCCATATGTGGCTTGCAATTGGGCCATACTGTAATAGACTAAGAACTTATTTGGGGCCTTAAAATGTAATTGTTTGGTCAGGTGAGTTATATATTAATAAATGAGATGAGTACCTAGGTAATGCCACCAGTGTTAGACAAAAGACCAGAGAAACTAAAACTCATTTTCAAATGTGGGTTAGCTCCTGCCCATGGAACCAAAGGCCTGTAAGGCAGCTTTACAGGGTCTGCTAACTGCCCTCCCCCCATCTCTGCTGGGTGCTCCCACCTGCTACACTGAGACCTTCAAGTAATTAAAATATCGTGCAATTGATAGCACTGATTGGAGGTGGCAAATAGCATATTTTTCCATAACTAATTGGGTTTTTGTGTTTTCTTGATTTTTCTTCATTACCAACCTTACGGCTAAACCAAACTTCCCAACAAGTCAACACACATGCGCGCACGGGTGCGTGCACGCACACGCACGCACCTACTCTCACACACGCACCTCTTGGCTGGAAAGGCCGCGTGGGCGGTGAGTGTCTGTCTCAGGCGAGGCCAGAGGCACTGGCTGTTAAAACGCCCAGAGCGCAGGTCAACTATCCTGGAGGGGCTGGGGGGGCCTGGGGGGGGCTGAGGGGGGGAGGCTAGGAGCCCTGGAACAAAGTACCAGTGCTGTGAGAGGAGGGAACCGGCTTGTGCTGCATCAAAAGTGGCCACATCTGTTCAGAACCTCCACTTTGTGGGTCATGGGAGCCACACGCACTCAAGAATCAATATTCACCATGGATGATGGCTGCACTGACAGATTCCTCCTCGCTAAGGGCTGAACCTGAGTGGGGGGACCGCCCCTTCCCCCCTCACTAAATCTCCCAGACAATCCCTGAGAAATCAGTGTGACATGGTGAGGCCCAGAGACCTCCAGGGACCTGTCCAGGATCACACAGCTACTGCGGGGGCTTCCCAGGGGCACAGGGCGGACCACATGGCCATCAAGGGAGGCTCAATCCTGGGCACCTCCGAGTGCCAGGACACCCTGGCAGGGCCTGGGTCCCGTCCCACCTCATCCGGCAGATCAGAGAGCACGCAGGCATTATTAGACCAGGCCTTTGCATGCGGCGCTTTACCATGTGAAGTGCTCCTGTAATTCAGACAGGAGGGGAGTGCTGTCTGAATTACCTCAGGGGACTAAGTCCTGTGAACCTGTGGACTAAATACACAAGCCTCAAGCAGAAGACCCAAATGCACAGCCCACCGCCCTCCCAACGTCTGGTTTGCAGACGCTTGGTGACTTGGGAAACGGAGAACCACTTCCCACCTTCACAGAGACAGACGGAGAATGGCTGCGGAAGGCGACAGAAAAGCTTCGTGGGGTGGGGGGCGCGGGGGGTTGTGTACGAACACTTGGGAGAAAAGGCAGTCTACCACCCCCACAGAAAGAGCTCTAATTACTCACTACAGAATAGAACTCTTCTGTTGTCCAGTTTTTAATTTGTTTTGTAAGAACTATGAAGAGTCAAAGTGGTTTCAGGCAGACACAGAACTAATCAAATTTGAGTTCATTCACTTATTCCACTCGACTTGGCTCCTTAAGGTGGCAGACAGGCCAAGTTCCTCCATGTAAATCAATTTCAAGTTTGGGTCCTTTTGGTGTGGACCTTAGGAGTGCTGCATGTGAACAAAAAATTAAAAAAAATAGGGAAAAAAAGGAAAATGGCAGAAATCTAAGTGGTGAGGATGGTTAAACTTTTAAACAAGCAGAACTTGCCTGACAACCACACTCTTCTTGGAACAAATGATCACTTATGTGAGATTAGACCGCAGACTTGTATTTAGGTAAATTTGGGGGGGGGGAAATGGAGGAAGAAAACAACAGACCCCCCCCCATATACTTTTTGAAGATTGCTGTGCTTTTTTCCCTTTCAAAGTTATCACTTTAGCGAGAGGAATGACTAATCCCAAAAATGAGTATTTGATATTTCCCTGCAGGACCGGCGGTACTAACATTAACTGTACTACGATATTACTCAGGATTTTAATAAACCTTAACTTGGAGATTTATCTCCCTGATGGGTGGTGGTGTGGGCAGGCAGATGGCGCACAGGCGCTTCCATTGTCCGGAACAAACATAGTCTCATAGTGGTGAATTAAAATAAATTACCCTTATCTCCACAGGGGACTGCTCACTTCTTTACTTTCTAAACAAGTAGCACGTCAACTACTATTTTAAGCTACCTTGAAATTGAATAGAGGCCAATATAAAAAGTCTCCTGTGCTTAAAAAAAAAAACAAAAACCTCAATGCACAAACGCTCACTAATACCCCTTCATTAAAAATGCTTTACGAACAAGAAAATCAAAGCAGTCCTGCGCACCCACGTCCCCATTCCCGACAGGCTCCCGCTGCTCGACTCGCAGGGCCCAAGGGCCCTGATCCACTCCCGGGCGCCCGCGGGGGTCTCACTCTCCAGGCAGGACGCGCGGGCCGCCCCGACTCATCCTTCCGGACCTTCTCTCGCCGGCCGCCCCAGGCGAGCCCTGGACACGGCCGAGCAGGTGACCAGGGGCCCAGCGTTTTCGGGGAGCCGCGGCCTCCCAGGTATTTGAGAAGGTAGGCGGCCCCAGGTCCTCCCTGGCCTGGAGGGCTCGGGTAAGTCACCGCAAATTCAGGCTCCCGGGAGCCTCCTCGGACACCCTCTCCTGCCTCCCCCAAGCCTCTTCGCGAAATCAGGTCCCTCGGGGCGCCCAAGGCAGGAACCCCAACCAGGCCCTCGGTATTCTTTTAAAAACAAAAACAAGCGAAACAAGCCGGCGCGCACGCAAGCTCCAGCCGGCTCGGCGACCCTGGGGGCCGCGGCCCGAGTTCGCAGCCGGCTCCGCGCGTCACCACCGGGCCCATCCCGCGCCCTGCCCTGGGCCCCGCGTCCCGACTGCCCTCAAAGCCACCAGGCCACCCTCAACCCGAGCCCGGAGAGGCACGGAACCCAGACACACGACCCCCGAATCCTAGGAGTAGCCGCCACCCAGCCTGGACCCCGGCGTCCAGACCTCGGTGCTACTCATGTCCCCAGCCCGGCTTCTAGGTCCCCCGGGAGAGGAGCCGGCGCCGAAGGGTGCTCTCTACGGAACCCCCAGCCCGCGCCCGGCCGGCCGGCCCGCCCACCCCAGACCCAGCTCTTACCGCGCCGCTTGTGGCAGGGCCGACGCGCGGTCGGGCGGCAGCTGCTCGGGGCCCGGGCTTCTCGATGCGATCGCGGCGAGGCCGGGGCCGAGGAGCGGGTGGGGCGCTTCGGGAGGCCGGGGCGAGGGCAGGCGGGCGAGCGGGCGGCTCCGTGCGCTCAGGGCTGCGGCTGCACTGCGCTCCGCACCGCCGCTGGAGGAAGTAACCGGTCCGGCCCCTTCGCAACGAGCTCTTCAGGCTCCCGGGGAGGAGGGCGGAGGGAAGGGAGACGACGGGAGAGGGGAGGAGGGGCAACGAAAGGGGTGGGGACAGAGAGAAGAGGAGGGAAGAAGGCTGGGGGAAGGAGGAAAGGAGGGTGAGGAGAGAGGAAGAGGAGGGAGGGCAGCGGGGGCGGGGTGGGGGCGGAGCCGGCCTTTTCCGGCCGGGACCTCGCTCGCCGGTTGCCGGTCTCGGCCTCTCCCTCGCTGTTCCAGGACCGCGGTGGCCCAGCGCGAGCGTGCTCCCTGGAGCTCAGGCAGGGAGTCTCCTCTTGTCCCGAGGCTTTAACGTCAAATACTGGGTGCTGGCGGCCGCAGGGCTTGGGTAATAAGAGGCCCCATTCTGAGACATCTTCCTAGAGCTTTGATTTCTGATCATTCTCATCGTGAAAAGACTCTGAATGAGATGATAAACGTGCTAACGGGGACCCTTTGCTGAGGGGCTGAGGCCGCCTCGCTCCAGGCAGCCCCGTTCCCACAGCCTCCGTGTGAGTGGCGCCCCCTAGAGTTGAGCGGTGCCTCAGCGGTAACCGACCTGAGCTTCCCCGGGCTAAGGCGCCTGATAATTCTCCAAGGCCTTCTTGTTCCCGCTTTCAGTGTGAGGGAGTTGAATCTTAGGGTAGATAACTTGCCAGGTCATACAATGTATAACAACCACCCATCGCCCATACTCTGCCAAGTTTTCATTTTTAGCAGAAAAGAGTCGGTGGCTAGAAGTGTGTGCATTCCTTATGCAAATTCACGTCAGATTCTCAATATTTTGGAGGCAAATATAGATCCCTTAAGGTGGATGTAAAATAAAACAGCCCAGCTTAAACAAGGGCCATGGGACTAAAAATTGGTGCATCTCAGGGACCCAGTGCTGTGAAGCCAGAGGAACTGCCTCACTTCTCTGTTACCAAGGTTCCAGGTTTCCATGGCAACTCTAAATCCAAAGTTACTCCAATAATTGAGATACTGCCCGTACCTTATTGTTTCCAGGTACCTGAGGGTCTCCGGGTATCACCGTGGCATGGCTCAATGGCGGGGTCTACACTGAAACAACCCAGTGCAGTGGGCACTGATATTTCCAGGATCCTGAATTCATTCTGGTGGCTTCTCAGTGTGCATGCTGGCCCTCCATCACAAGCCATAGATGGGTCAACGAAGAGTTTCATAAAGGGAATATGGATCCATAGTACATTACCATGGAGACATGAAGAGTCCGCTACTTTTTAACTGCAGGGGGAAATGCGGACTCCTCTGGGCTGCCGTCCTATCTGATGGAGGATCCCCCCGCCCTCAGGCTACACACAGCGGCCCTTGAGTGTGTCTGAGAAGCTGGGGGCCCACAGCCTTGGGGTCAAGTCCAGTTGCTTAAAATGGGACTGCCGTCCATTGCACCTTCTCCGGCACCCATGGGTGTTCAGTGTGGGATGCTCAGGGGCTGAGTCACTGACATCCAGTGGCTCGTTGGGAAGACACCGTTCTCCCCTGGGGAGGCTGGTGCAGGCTGGGGCGGGCCTGGCGGGGTGGGGGTGGGGGTTCACTTACATTGGGCCACTTCCAACATGTCTGAGCAGAAAGGTGTCAGAAGGAGCACAGTGGTTTGCAGGCAGCCCCTTCCTGACAGCAACGTTTCCTATGCTGAACTCAGTAAACCCTGGGCTCCCTGTCTCCTCTGTAGAAGAAAAGGTGATTCTGGAACCTTTGTCCTCAGGCTGGGATGAACAATCAGCATAGAACCAAACAGGTCAAGAATTTATCAGTGTTGAGCACATGGTAGAGTCTCGAAATGACATAGCTCTTAAGTTTCTTTTTCCAAGCTCCCCTCTGAGGGCCTCTTATGAAAGGGACCCTTTGGGGAAAAAATATCGTATACATGAAAAGACACCCTCTCTTCCCTCTCAGTGGGAAATGTGTGACACCCCACCGCAAATACCCTGGCAGGTGTGGCTCCGCTGGTGGGAGTGTCGCCCTGTAAGCCACAAGGTTGCGTGTTCAGTTCCTGTCAGGGCGCGTGCCTCGGCTGTGGGTTCGGTCTCCAGACAGGGCGCCTATGAGAGGCAACCATCGATGTTTCTCTCTCGCATCAATATTTTTCTCTCTCTCTCCTTCTCCCCCCGCCCAGATCAATAAGCATGTCCTTAGGGGGGGATTAAAAAAGAATAAAAGAAAAGAAATGATCTGGCCAGAGTGCAAATGCCAGAACTGGAAGAGGCTCGGGAGCCGGGGGAGGAAGCCGAGGGCAGGCGCCAGCGTGGGCCCTCGCCTCCCGGCCGAGCCCCTGTCGCTCCCTGACTCCCGTTCTGAAGAGGCCTGGGCTCATTCAGGCAGCGCCCTTGCCCTGGGTCCTACGCGGTGACCAGCGCCCCTGGATGCCTGGGTGGTCGCATGGTCATAATAAAACGGCATATCCTGGTTCTGGGGCGATGTCAGGCTTCCTAACATTTTTCGCCTTCCTGCTGTGAGTTGGTTTCCTAGTTACTCAGCTGAACTAAGACCTGAGCCCGGCTGAGGCCTGTGATTACTCATTGACGATTATGGCTTGATTCACAAGAAGCACTGGGCTTCACAGCAAATTAAACCTAATAAAAGTACAGCCCTTGTGCTTGCACATCAAAAGTCGAAGGTGTTAAAAGGAAATTAACAGTCAGAGGGCAGGCGGGATGAAATGACCAGATGCGCTACGTCAGCCGCAGTCTCTTTTCCCTTAAGAAAGAGAGAGGCCCCGGGAAAGGGGAAGGGAGACCCGACCGGGGTGTGCATGTGCTGTGTTTAAACACCAAGTGTCCGAGGAGTAAACTGCAGAGTTCTTTAGAATCCAGACATGATTATTAAAACTGATTAGTGTACCAAGTCATCCTTTTAAAAATTAGCAAAATCGTTACCTTAGAAACATGCCTGTGTTTCCCTTGAAATCCAAATCAATAGTTGACATCCAGCTCCAGGTGTTCCCGGTGCAAACTAAAGACGTCATCTGGTCTGAACTGTGTTATTTCTTCATTCAGCAAACGGTGTCACCTCCTGAGAAGACAGAGATGAGTAAGGCTTCATCCTTGCCCTGGAAGAAATAAAAATAAAGTGCCCAGGACTGTTATAATTACACACAGAAGCGAGACTCTGGAAATCCTGGTGGGGGAGGGGCGCGGTGCAGGAGAGAAGAATGCACTTAGAGGCAGAAATAACTGACTTCATGCCCATTTGCCCCTGTGCTTCCTTTCCTGCCCATTCACCCTGCCTCCCAGGGGGGTGCTCAGAAGTAGCAGGTGTTCCACTGGTACATGTTGGGGTCCAGGAACAGATCGCGTCAAGCTTTATGCCACCCCCAGCCCCTCTCTGGGTCTCCGTTTCCCTGTCTGTCATATATGCCTGACCACGGGACTTTTCCGCTAGGACTGCCTGCGGATGAAGCGAGCTGATGTTTCTGAAGCACTTAGAACAATGGCCGGCTTGTAGTTAGTCTACACGTGCCATAAATAAGAGCTCTTGGAGGGCGGGAAGCTCAGTCCGCCTTCCCAGCAGCCGCTGCGATCACTGCTTCGCTGTACATGCTAGGCAGGGTTGCCGGGCACAGCAAGGAATCGGGTCGAGACCAAAGCTGTCACTAGGGGCCCACGCCCTCTTTCACGGTAACCCTCTTACCTTGGGTGGTGAGATACCAGGGCATGAAACACTGAATTTTAAAACTAGAAAACACTTTAGGGCAGGGGTCCCCGACCTCTGGGCCATGGACCAGTACCGGTCTGGGCCTATTAGGAACCGGGCCGCCAGCAGGTGAGCTTGAATGCAATGAGCTTGAACCACAAAACCATCCACCTCTCTGCCCCCCTTCCTGCCCCCTCCCCACTCCGTGGAAAAATTGCCCTCCATGAAACTGGTCCCTGGTACCACAAAGGTTGGGGACCGCTGTTTCAGAGAGTTGATAAGTGAGAGCATCTCCTCTTTTCATAAGGAACCTGAGGCCCAAAGGGGATCAGTTCCTTCCCACGGTCACATGGCTGCTTTCTGGCAGGGCTGGGACCATAGTCCTCCCTGTCAGTCATTTTCCCTTATAAGGCCGCTCTCTGGAGAATATAAACCACCTTCCACATCCACCATGGTATTAAACAGCAGGATGACATGCTTAAGGCAAGTCCAAACAACAAAAATAGTAAGAGGAACTGTTGTATTCTGCAGTATTGATACCCCCTAAATAAATGGGTCTGAGGCGTGAGTCAGACCCGCACAGATATGTGGTTTGGTCGGCGCGTGTGTTTGTCCTGAATCACAGCAGGGTTCCCACAGTGAGCACCAAGATGAAGAGTGCCCGGAGCATCGACCTCATCTCAACCTGGAACACACTCAACCACTGTCTTCCCACACACAAAGGGCTGGTCACTATGTGCTAGTCATTCTAGCAGATGACTGTCATTTAATTCCCCTGCCACTTTTGGCGGATGAATGTTTTGAAGCTAAATAATGCTACGGACATAAGCTGGCATGTGAGTAAGTCGCGGAGACACTGGGATGTCTACGCTGCACCCTGCTTTTGAGAAACGCTTACCAGCAGCGGCAAGGTTTCCCCCTACTCCTTTGCATTTATGAGTGTTGGGATCTATGTCTATTTCAGAGCCACTGAGGCATCAGCACTTCCTGTTTATGGCTGTTGGAAATCACCTCTCCTCGTGTGCTAGGCTCCAGGTGAGGGCTTTCTTTGCCTCCATGCGAGACGCGGTCGCCTGGCCGTGCCTCTGGTTCAGCCCTTGCCTCCAGGCAGGAAGGACCAGCGAAGCCCTTCCATCTGAGCCTGAGCCCCTGTGTGTCTTAGGAGCAAGAAGAATGTTCGACTGTCCTTAGCGAGTGGTGCCTTGTCTCTTTATTTTCCCCCGTATCGTAGGGTTTGTATAGAAAAGTGGGTAGATTATTTCTCTGCAAGAACCGCTTGTTCTTGTTTAGGAAAAAAGCAAGCACCTGACATTGTATTCATTCATTCATTCATTCATTCATTCAATCATTCATTCCAGTTTTA